ATAATAAAAGTGACTGAAGCAAAGTAAATAGTTTCCGGCATAAATAATCTCCTCATCCCTTCTCCACTGGTTTATACAGGGTGATTTAAAATTGTCGCCATTCCTTTTAATGGTATATAGGGGCACACTTAGAGAGTACGAGAAAAATATTAAAAAAATATGTTTCTAAAATTTCAAGAAGATATTGACAGTTGAAGATCGAATTTCAACTTTGTTATTAATCATTATTTTCAAAAGATACCAGGTTTGATTGGTAGCCTATTGGAAGACTTAAGCATTCGAAAAGAAAAATTGCGATCTTTTTATCAAATTACGAAAATTTTTAATATTAAAAAAGTACTCTTCTACAATTTTCTAATGAAAAGTCAAAGCGGCAATGATGTTTTTTGTCATTAACACATAGTTACAGGTAGACAGCCTTTGTCAATAATAACAAGCATTTGTCAAACTGTGGCTTATCTTAAACCTCCTTTCACAAAATGTAAACCAATAGCGAACTTGCAAATATGCGATTAGTTATGGGAAAATGCCACAGAAACATAGCAGAAGCTGTAAGAACTTACACCAGCAAAGAGCTAGACACTAGACGAGTGGCCCGAAATGGACGCAGATAGTGGACAATCTAAAGGTGCTCGGTTTCCAGACCTAAAGGATCAGGTATTGGAGATTATTACAGATGAGCCTTCCAGGAGCACTTGAAGCATTGCACAACTGCGCTTTCTCAAACACCGGATACTTAAGTGTCCCGATAACTCCCCCGAGAAATGCCCTACATTCCTACCATGCATGTAATATGCACAGAAAACTAGACACATTAAATCTCTGATCTTGCGAACACCGGTTCAAATTGAGCAGCAGTTAATTAACCGAACACGAGAAGCTGCTCAAATATGGGCCCAGACTCAAAGTGACACAAAGATGTTTGGAGTGAAACGGGCAGGACTTCGTGCTCTTGGGAACACTTGTGTTTTAACAATATAATTGTATTTGATTTGATCAATCACATTGATCAATGATACATAACCTTTAACAGGTGGTTTTGGATGACAGTTGTGACCTATTAAGGTATATCACTCATTTACCCAAAAAGGATGGCAGCCCTCGGGGGCTGTTTTGTCGCGGCACTGACCGCAAGATGACACCGTTATCCTAACCTCAACGCATGTTATTGTCTCTTTTATTTTCTTTGCTTCATGTTTATCCATAGCTACCAGAGTTTTAAATAATTACGAAGGTATAGGTATTTACGAAATGTTAATTAGGCAGATTACCTTGAAAAACATAGTTGTCATCCTTCTGAACTAGTTTTTTGCAAATATCTGAGCTTTTAATTTGCATTTAATTTTTTTACTATTTTTCTGTACTCTCAAGACACCCCCAGATAACACCTCCAGAGGAATGACGCCAATTTTGAATCACCCTGTATATGTTGAAAAAACTGCTGGACATAAAAGTATCGAGATTTTAATTTCTATGAATGTGTGCAAAAAAGGTAAGCTAGATTCACTAGTTGCCATAAACAAGTCACTGTAGTGCTTCACGTGGCCTTAGACGCAAGAAAAATCAAGTTGAACCATATAGTTATTAACAGCTCACACTGATGTCAGTTTAATTGCCAGCAAGTTTGAATCTGTAAAATCAGAGAGTCGTTAAGTATATCAAGCAAGACGACCGCTTAATTTTTGTGAAAGTGTTAGGGTGTGATAAGTCGTTAGCGCTGTAATGAACAAGATGCCACCATATATTCGAAATCGATCTATCACCGGTATCTCATTTATCATCTCCGGGTCGGCGACTCAGGTCGTATCACTTGCCTGCGAAATACGGGAACGTGTGGTGTAATGGATTTGTGTTATCTTCCGTTTTGGAACAAAAAATGTGCCTAAGACTTTGCACGACTGGGAATAAAATGCAAGCAGCAAGCTAATCGACATTTTATCCCAGAGACATTTCTGTAATGAATGAAGAGACGACCGATACGTTGGGTTCCAATAAGCGTTCAATAACGTTATTTAAATCGCAAGGAGGAAAAATGAATCTTAATCAAGCGTGAGTAGTTCAATCAAATGTACCAATATTTTCTTACAAAACAGAACCATAGGGTTGCAACCAGAATGTTGTTACAGCCAACGCCATCCAAATAAACGTTGGGAACCTAGAATTAAAGAAAACGGTTACTGGTTTAAAAAATAGATGGTTACAATTTTTAAGTTTTGCTTGTTAACGGCAAGGGAAGCTGTATGTGTGAAGTTCTGAAACGACGTTTTCAATAGAGTTCAAACATCATCTGCATTCCTTGGGGGCGCGGACATAATGAAATGTCTTAGGTCGTTCCCTTCTTCAATTTTATATTTTCTGTAGCATTTTCTAAGTTTTGCTGGTGCTACTCAATCAAAACCAACCGAACACTGGCCAAAAGGTAACACCACTCGAAGAAGAAAAATCTAATTTAAATTAGCATTTTTCAGTGCACTGCAGTCGCCTCGGTCCTATTGTGTGCACAATACCAGAGCGCCCTGGCGCAACTGCAAATATTTTACTTTCTTAAGCTTGTTAATTTTCTACATAAAATGTGCTCCAGGAATTATGACTAATCAATCAGTTGAAAAGTACTTAAGCAAAGAAAAAAACAAAAATAAATTACGTCAGCCTTAGGAAATAAAGAAGATTTGATCAATTTCCTGTCACCAACTTTCGTGATATTATTACCATTATTATTACTTTAATTAAACCGTTTCCCCTAGTCCTTCGGGATAGTAAAATGATAATTGCTAATAACAAATATTTTGATATTTTAGAAGTTAGTTTAGGATCGTTTATGATATATGCGTGAGAAGTATTCAGCAAAAAAATTACAGGGTGATTCAAAATTGGCGTCATTCCTCTGGAGGTGTTGTCTGGGGGTCTTGGGAGCACAGAAAAAAAATAGGAAAAACTACTAAATGTTATTAAAAACTCAGATATTTGCAAAAAACTAGATCAAAAGGATGGCAACAATGTTTTTCAAGGTAATCTCGCTAATTAACATCTTCCTTCGTAATTATTAAAAACTCCGGTAATCACGGATAAACATGAAGCAAAGAAAATAAAAGAGACAATAACATGCGTTGAGGTTGGGATAACGGTGTCACCTTGCGGTCAGTGCTGCGACAAAACCCCCGAGTGCTGCCATCTTTTTGGGGCAAATGAGTGATATACCTAAATAGGTCACAACTATCATCACCACCCGTTAAAGGTTATGTAACATTGATCAATATTAGTGATAAAAAAAAATCCAATACTGTTGTTAAAAAACAACTGTTCCCAAGAGCAAGAAGTTCTGCCAGTTTCACTACAATCATCTTTGTGTCCCAATCACTTTGAGTATGTGCTCATATTTTAAGCAGCATCTCGTGTGCGGTTTATTGACTGCTGCTCAATTTCAACCGGTGTTCAGAATATTAGAGATTTAATGTTATCTAGTGTCCTGTGCATATTATATACATGGTAGGAATGAAGGGCCTTGGCCCTTCCTCTGGGGAGTTATCGGGACAATCAAGTGTCCGGTGTTTGAAGTGCAGTTGTTGTGCAATGCTTCGAAGGCTCCTGAAAGGCTCAGCTGCAATAATCTCTAATACCTGTTCTTCTAGGCTGAAAACCGAGCACCTTTAGATTGTCCACTATCTGCGTCTATTTCAGGCCACTCGTCTAGTGTCTAGCTCTTTGCTGGTGTAAATTCTTACAGCTTCTGCTATGTTTCTGTGGTATTTTCCCATAACTAATCGCATATTCGCTGTTGGTTTACATTTGGTGAAAGGAGCTTCAAAATAAGCAACATTTTGACAAATGCTTGTTATTATTCACAACGTCTGTCTACCCGTAACTATCTGTTAATGTCAAAAAACGTCATTGCCGCTTTGACTTTTCATCAAAAATCCTAGAAGAGTACTTTTTTAATATACAATGTTTTCGTAATTTGATAAAAAGATCGTAGTTTTTCTTTTCGAATACTTAAGTATTCCAATAGGCTACCAATCAAACGTGGGACCTTTTCAAAATAATGCTTAATAAGAAAGTTGAAATTCGATTTTCAACTGTTAAAATCTTCTTGAAATTTTGGAAAAAAATATTTTCAATATTTTTCTCGTACTCTCTAAGTGGGCCCCTATATACCTTTAAAAGGAATGACGCCAATTTTGAATCACCCTGTATATCGCAAGTGTTCCAATTACTTGCTACACCTACAAGGAAAATATATTTACATTTAATTTCTGATCCAATGCTATGTCAAGAAATATGGGTAGCTCTTTGTCTTTCTGGAATGTTTCGGAATCGTAATGAAAATATCATGCTTATTCAACTTGGTTAGAAAAAATGTAGGGTAGCATTTACACATTTTAAGGAAATTTGAAAATTTTCAAAAATTTGACCGCTTTTTATCACCTCCAGCTCGAATGGAACTATGCAGTACTGAGTAAAGTATGGTACACTATGTTGCTTCTAGATCAGACCGAAAAGTTTTACTTTTCGATTAAACTGTATTTTCAGTGGAATCGCTCTCCATTTCAGAATGGCAATAACGGGCACAACTTTTCAAACCATACTCCGTCGCTGACATGTTATGTACATAAATAGTTTGAGAATTTCTTATTTTTCTTTGCCATTTTTTTTTCACAATATTTGAAGCAAAAGTAAGAATACCTGTTTAATCTACAATATATTTTCGCCAAAGAACATCGCACATTAGGGGTAATAATCTTCAAACTGCATTGAAATATTGTGCAGACGTGTCACTTTAAATTATATTTCAGCTTGCATATGGAAGGTGCAAAATGTTACCATAAAACTTTCCTAATAGGCACCCATCTATAATGAGTTGATGAAAAGTTAGGACATCACATTAACCTTCCATCTACAGGGAAAATATTCCATGAAACACATACGCGCACTGAGGCGCGCACCTCCACTCTTTGCCCATCGTGCCGTCTTCAAAAGGCATTAAATATCAGTGCTCACCAAACCGTCAAATCGATGGCACGTGCTAGCGCCCGATTCGCATAATACGCGCAGATACGAATCTCACATTATTTTCGTCGACTCAATTCGATCAGTTGATAGTTTTTCTTTGGATAACTTACATGTGGAGGTAGTGATGTGACTACGGGACAATGTTACAGCTGCTATTCTTGCTGCTTACAATTTTAGTGACATCTTGTGCAAAATGTCCTTCGATGTGCACTTGTAGACATTTTCCGCGCGAACTTGTGCCAACTAGTTATCTCTATTACACTGCTGTGAAGTGCGACGGATTTGCTTCCAACGAGACGCTCAGTAATACTACCAGCATTTTAGAAGTCAACAACTTAGACCAATCAAGTTTTAGTGATTTGTATATCGGGTTACAAGAAAGTGATTTAGTCAACTTAAAAACGCTATCTTTGGCGCATAGCTATGTGGCAAACATAAGTGAACTACTTGGTGTAGTGGAAAACAGCTTAAACTACTTAGTTCTGACTCACAGCAACATAACTGCTATTCCAAATTTGACTGAAAAAACTAGTGTAGTGTCAATAGATCTGTCCAATAATGCAATAGAGGAACTAGCAGAACTAACGTTAAGAACTTTGCAAATATTAAATCTGAGCGCAAATTCAATCAAACGAATTGAGTCTAACAGCTTCCGAGCCGTAAAGAACCTAAAGATTTTGGACATTTCACAAAACCACTTAACTTTTTTAGATCACAATGTTCTTTATCCATTGACATTTCTGCAATATCTCAATTTGAGCCATAATCGTATAGAAATTTTAAACGAAAACTGCTTTTCCAATTTAATGAGATTGCAACAGTTAGATATTTCATGGAATAACTTAGTCAGAGTGGCTGCAGGTAGCTTTGATTTGCCAATTCTCTCGCGTTTATTACTAGCTGGAAACGTTCAATTAGAAAATGTAAGTAAAGTTTTGGTTGAGGTTGGTCGAAGGCTACATACTGTCGATGCATCGACAATGGGACTAACACAAGTTCCTAGTACATTAACTAATTCAATTCGAACTTTAAAACTAGCCAGAAACTCTATAACAGAAATATTTTGCGGAGATTTAGACGCTTATCCTTTACTACAGTCTCTAGATTTTTCATTCAACCATCTCAGTGTCGTAGAAGATGACGCTCTTGGGCGACAAGAAACTCTTTCAATCCTTTACTTAAGTGACAATAAGCTCCAGCTCATCCCCAGAAGTTTACCCGAGCAATTAACAGTACTGGACTTGCATGGCAATCTTATTGATAATGTGACGAGGTCCGATTTTTCGGGTTTGTCAACACTTGAAGTGCTGTTGTTAAATGACAATAAAATAACATTGGTAGAAGGTGGAGCTTTTAGTAGTTTACGCTCTCTTGTGACACTGGATTTGTCGCGAAATTCGATAAAAGCTCTTTATCCAGGAAGTCTCTCAGGACCGGTAGCTTTGAAAATTTTAAGACTGAGTGGTATAGACACAGTGGCCCCCGCGGAAGACGTGTCTTTCCCTCTCTCGATTCCGGATCATTTAGTGACTCTTGATTTATCAGGCAGTTCAGGTCTAGCGCGACAATTACTCTCTGATACTGCCGCTTTGGCCGCGTCTCGGGAATTACAAGAGTTGGATATTTCCGGTGCAGATATCGAATTTATCCGTTCTGATTTATTGCACTTTCTGCCCGAGTTAAGGATAATGCACGTAAAAGATAATCGGCTTAATTGCTCGAATTTACAATGGCTAGCTGTGTGGATGCGCCGCCAAGATCAGGACGAGAACCGGCTAGTTATATGTGCCAGTCCCCCAGACCTCTGGGGAGTGCTCCTACTTGATTTACAATATGCCGACACTTCCACGATAAAACCTATACATCAAGGACAAAATCCGGATTTCAAGGGAACGATTAATTTTGACAATGAAATCAATGCATTGCAAAAGAACCCAAAAAATGTGACGGGAAAATACGAAATCCATGAAATGGTTCGTACGTCGACAGCAATAACAAATGACTTGGTCTATAATTCCACGAATAATACACGTTTAGACAATGCTGATAAGAATATTGACAGGAACATTGAATTTACGTCGAAATACGGAAGTGGGGACAATAAGGTCGGAACTAATACGGCGAATAAATTAATTTCTTTTGCGCTGGAGCACGATATGAAAAGCTTAAAGTTTTCTCCAAAAAGTGTGAGAAGCAGGAAGATAATCCACAGTAAAACTGTCAGTGAGCAATTGTCGTCATATACAGAAGTGAAACAACCATCGATTAATCCGCAGAATTTCTATCAAGAGTCACACATACAACTCAGGTCCACGACTCCAACAAGCAGTTTTAATCCCGCAGGTAATTTTTATTCTTGTGCTTAGAATGACTGTTTTTTATATTTTAACAGAACTGATGAACGCAATAAACGCATTTAAATGAAATTACCAAAATTATTACAATTTATTATTAATGAAAAATAATTATTGCAAACTGAATTATTTAAAAGCATTCGTGTTTCAGTCAGCTTGGTCCAACATTTCCAAGTTTGCTGGTGTGGTTTTGACACTTTGCTTTTATTGTGTGCTGCGTCATCAGACGATGTGCATATAATGCATGGAACGAATAAATAAACTGTTGATTTCCTTGGTTGTACTATTTCAGGCCTTTACTTTAGATGCATGCTTTATACAAACCCTCAGTGTCAACAAATGATTTTGAATCACAGACGTTGAAAAATATAGTTCGTAAGAAACAACTTTTTAGTATTTTACATCTAATGAAAATGTAATTGATGAACTGAAAAGTCCTCCCTTAGTCGTACATTAAACAATACAACTAAGTCCATCGTTACTAAATATTAGACATATCTAAGTAACTAAGAAGGTTGACAGGAAAGTTCTAATTAAAATATTACTAGTGAACCGAATAAAATACATATACGTGATGATTCGATGAAGTTCATAACTGGTTTAACCTAAACAAAGTTTTGATAGAACTAAGAACAGAAACACTTACATATCAATATGCACAGTACATAAGTTGTCTGTACTTAATTTTCTATAGAACTAAACATATAGAGCGTGTCTCTTAAGCACATGACTACCAAGGCATTCTTTGGCTCAAATGAAGAACACACGAGCTGACTTTTATTAAGAAAAAATGGCCAGTTGCCCTGCCGTTGATGGTTAAATTCATTCGAAAAAAGTTTCCTTTATATCTGAGGACTGATACGATGGATTATTAATAAAACTCGCTGTAAATTTGTCTCTATGCAAGATTTATGTTTTGATAAAGCAGCCGAGTACACTTGCTTTATGCAAGTGAGGAATTCTTGAGTGTTTTGGTGAAAAACCTACCAGAACTTTTTATTTGGTAGCTGGAATAAACTGATTTTTTTTAGTTAAAGATATTTTTTTGCATAAATTTTATTAATTTCATTAGATATAGAAAACGTATGTTAGTAATTTTATAGATAACCATAATTGAGATTAAAAAGACGGAAAATGTCGACTTGTTCAGTATATCCCTGTGGTAGTTTTTTGGGGGTTATTTGGCGGCATTCATTACCACTGTGTTTTCGCAAAACTGTCAAAGTTTCTGGAGGAGTGGAGGACACTATCAACTTGTGATAACACCATAAGGAAAACACTAATGGAGTCCAATCTCTCTGGAGTCTGCAATATCTCTATATTGCAGACGATTTAACAGGATTTATTTTACCACTCCAGTGACCAGCCGAGTTTTCATTTAGGAATTGTCGGATCTTTAAGGAATATTGCATAGGTGGAACGTAATGTCAAGATGTCAAGAGATTTTCTGAATAAAGCTGATAGTTTTCCACCCGCCCTACTAATTGGGTAACAGCGATGTCTCCCAGCAACTCCAAACTAAAGTTGGCGTGTCCGAGCAACTATTGTATCAACACAGAAAATAGTTCTATTTCGTTTTAGTGGGGGTACCATGTACAACGCTTATACAAAGATATTTCTATCAGCGTAGAATAATTCCAATTAGTTTTAAGTGCTTATGTCTGTCCTAAAACTTTATATGTAGCTATTCCAACACTGCCTCGGTTGTTTTAACGGTTATGTGGGCATCACTTGTGCGATATTGACGAATAAGCGGTTGATTGTTTCTTGCTGTTGGGTATTGTTTATCACTTTGTATTTTTAGCAACCTCGCTGATAAACTGTCAGAAGCGCCAGGGCACAATTGTTTAATGAAGAAATTACACGGTGTATTAGATTAACTATGAATTCCTTTTATCTAGTATGCAGATTTGCAATACATATTGTCTATAAATATTGAATGAATTATTTATTTATTAATCAGCAAAGATACGAATACATAAATCACGTTTTACTATGCAATTTACACACCGGCATAAATAAAACGGTTATCTGCTGGAGGGACTGATTGCTATGAAGACTTAAAACTAATAATTAATCTTTTAATATTAATAACCACAGTCGTTTGTTGCCTATTGAGAGATAACCTAATAATAATGATACAGTGGTTTAGTTTTAATTTAATTATCTGATTTAATCCACTCTTTTCATTTATTTTTATTACTTTTCGTAGTTCAATTTTTTAACTTATGTGTTGAATAATTATATTGCTCTAATGTAGCTGTTTTTGCTACTTATTCCTTTCCATCTGATCGGAATTTGTTGTCTGTTGAAAAGCTTTTTTTTTCTTGGATTGTTTGTTGAAGATGAATGTGTTGACTTTAGATTCTCATAATGAAAGCTTAACGATTCTAGTTCGTTCATTTGCTCAATATGAAGTGGGATTCCTGGAAATACAAATTTATTTTTATTTACGATTTTTGGCAGCTTTTTCTGTAACTTATTCAACTGTTTGAAATACTATTATTATAATTTTTTCTAAATACAGTTTAGGTTTTTATTAATTTTTGCGTCCACGCTTATGAATCAACTCAATCTCAACCTCAACTATTATGAAAGTAAAGTTGTTCGTTTGGAGATACTGTCTGGGGGCTATTTAGGGAGTGCACGATAAAAAGTTGGAAAAAATTAGAAATAATTTTGCTATGAAAACTGATAAATTTTCGAAATTATAAATTATAAATTTGAATGCTGCTTATGACGCTTTTCTCATTAAAGTGACTTTAATACCTGCTGATTTATGTCGAAATGACCAAAGATCAAAAATGAAACTTAAACGAAAACTTTAGCAATAAATTTCCCACCCAAATCAATTCAAACAAAATGAAAGTTTCAAATTAAGTTTTTCATTGAGTTTATTAGACAGTGATATAAATAAACAAATAAAAGCTTTCGGCATCATGAGAACATTCACGAGCTTGTGATACGGGCGAGTGCAGGTGTTTTTGGGGTGTTGGAATCGCAACAATATAGAACCCGCTTGAGCCTCTAATGTTGCCTCGTACAACGGTTCGGACAAAAGCGATATATGGCGACAGCAGCTATCCAATGTAACGCAATGTAAAATACATGGGCAAAATCAGTACAAGTTTCGGAATTACTATTTTCAGGATAAACCCAGCTGGCAAGCGCTAACAGGATCGAAACCGGTTCTGGGGGTGCCCGAGATAAACACATCACGAAACTTGTACTTGAGTACATTATTGATATTATATGTGAATTTTACTACACGCGTATTTTAAAATCAGTTTCAGTTATATCCATCCATCATTACACAGAAAATTGCTGAAAGTCACTTCATCACTTCACTTTGTTCATTTTCAAAAATTTTCTAAAATTGTGATGATCTCTAAACCGCAACTTTTCACAAAAACGATGAAAATATGTCCAATTCATGATAAGCCATGTTTACAAAATTACATCGGCGGTTTTCTGCTGTTAAAAATGCGAAGAAAAAATGGTGTAATGAAGACACTGTTTTCGAGACTCTAAAATATGCCAAGCAATAACTGACTTGATTTCACAATTACCGCCTACTTATGAATTTCCTTGCTATGAATATATGTGCAATAAATTTTGAAAACCATTTTTACATAAGGACCTAAAAACATTCGAATATACAGGGTGATTCAAAATTGGCGTCATTCCTCTGGAGCTGTTGTCTGGCGCTGTTATAGGAGTACAGATAAGTAGTTACTAAAAATAGTAAAAGAAATTAACTGTTATTAACAACTGAGAAATTTCCAAAAAACCATATCAGAAATACGGCAGCAATGTTTTTCAAGGTAATTTGCCTAATTATCATTGCGCAAATACTTGTTGCTTCGTAATTATTTAAAAATTTGGGAACCATAGAATTATACAGACCGACAATAAGATAGACAAGGATAAACGGTAAATTTAACAAAATTTGTTGACGAAATGTCAACCTGTTCTCATAACCTCGAATATCGGTGTTTAAAAATAAACCATACAACACCAAACAAGCTAGTGCCTGTATAATCTCCTTATTATCCACTTTTATCAAGCAGATTCTCGTATTCAGTTAATTAATTCGTGCTCCATTTGTAGCTCCTTGTGCTGTGTGTATCGTACAAACGTAGCCCTTCCTCGGTATTTATTTGGTGCTTGGGAAAGTGTCAGTTATTGTGCTCTGAGTGCCCCTGGAATCTCCAATACGTGTTCCTCTATGCCTGGAACCCGAACATCTATCGTCCACTATCTTCCTGGAACCACTCTCCTCGCTCTTTGGTGGCGTGAGTTCTTTCAGCTTGTGCTATGTTACTGTAGCATTTCCCTTGAACTAATCGTATATTCGCAAATTCGTGAAAGGAAATTCAAAGTAAGTCACAGTTTGACAAATTATTGTTATTGTTGACAAGGGCTGTCCACCTGTAACTATTTGTTCATGACAAAAGCATCATTGTCGCTGTGCCTTTTCATCAAAAAATTGTAGAAGAGAACTTTTTTGATGCAAAAAATTTTCATAATTTCAAGTAAAGATCGTAATTTTTCTTTTTGAATGCTTAAGTATTCCAATATGCTACCAATTAAACATTACAAAGTTGAAATTCGATCTTCAACTGTTAATATCTTCTAGAAATTTTGGAAAAAAAAATTTCAATTTTTTTTTTCGTACTCCCCAAGGTGGCCTCTCTCACTCCTTAAAAGGAATTACGTCAATTTTGTATCACCCTGTATGGGTGCCTACTTAGAGAATACGAGAAAAATTGAAAAATTTCAAGAAGATATTAACAGTTGAAAATCAAATTTCAACTTTGTTGTTAAGCATTATTTTGAAAAGGTCCCACGTTTGATTGGTAGCCTATTGGAATACTTAATCATTCGAAAAGAAAAATTACGATGCTTGCTTCAAAATTCATTCATAATAAGCACTCATGAGTTCATGTATTGTTTTCTGTTATGGCTTTCCATTCCTGTCTATCTTTT